AAAAAAAAAAAAAAAAGTTGGTGTCTTGCTGACCGCTCTTTCAACTCAGGGAAAGATGTTCAGAACAAGCTATTATCTTAAAGAGAGAAGGAATATTTCTTCTGCCCATTGTAATGAAGTTGCCTAGCTTCATTAGCAAGCACGTTGGCATATATGTGTGGGGCTCTTGTTACCCGAAGAGCTTTGCATTCCAGTGTTTCCTGCCAGCCTATTTGGAAGAAAAATGCCATTGTCTTTAATTCCTTCTTCCAAATCCCAACTTCTCCCTCCGAAATAGTTTAAGACCGACATGCAAAATAAAGCTTCCAAAACTTAAATGAACAGACCAGAAAATCTCAGCCCTGTATCTTTCAGATCAGTAAAAACTGCATACTCTCATTGAGAGCAGGTATTCTGCCATTTGGTAAATAACAGACGTTTGTTACTGTCTCTGTGACATCGTTAGTAGAAAATGTCTTCCCTGGTTTTCCTTATGCTTCTTCTGCAGTATCCATTTTTTTTTTTTTTTGTATGTATGGCATCGTTCAATGAAATTGATCGAATTGGTTGGGATTTAGGGTTTTGCTTTTTTCGTGATGAAGAACTTTGGACCCATTTTTCTTATGCGGAAATAAAATCACTGGCTCCTGAAAGTTTTAGGAAGCCCTGTTCATGTGAGTACTCAGGGAACTGGGAATGACTTTCTTTTCTCCCTGCTTCCCACAGTTCAGCGTACTCTTTTAGAGAAGTAGAAGATTGTCGGCGGAAACAGCCCAGCTGTTGGCAGCAGGGTTAGGACACCTACCGGAGGCTCCTCCCCAAAGAACACCTGCATGAGAACAGAGACGGAGGCCTTCTGTTCATGGCGGATTCCTTGTTTTAATCTTGCGATGTTCTTTGCTTGTTGTTGCTGGGTGGATGTTGTTTACTAACGCTGAATTTTACATCCAAACGGGGACAGGGACTTGGACCCCCATTCTCCAAGACCCAGCGGGGTTTCCCATGGGATGTGAAAGGCTGGCCATTATTACGTCCCTATAAGTCAAATAACCCCACCGAGGCACCGTTGGCCGGAATCTCGGTTGTTTACAAATCATGTGTGCATTGAGCACATCTGAAGCTCCCACGGTCGCTTTGACCTTTTTTTAATTAAAATAAGGTAAGCCCTTCAATTTGTTTCTTCAGTATTTCATTTATTTGCGAAGACATTTCTTTTTCATGTCAGACTAATAAAAAGAAATTAGAAACCAAGTACTTTCTCTTACCTAAATGTTTCACCGAGGGCAGATGTTAAAGAAGGCTGTAGGCATTTAATTGGATGGGTTCCAAGTTGTCTTTTTCTGGGGCTTTAAGGTAGAATTTTCAACCTAACTGCCAGCTCTTTATTTCCAAAATTTCCTTTTAGGGCTCTTTTCCTTTCCCCTGTCCCGCCACATTGAGACCAGTGCTCTTCTGCACCCAGATACTCCAGCCAGATACTCTCCTCCATCCAGATACTCCCTGTTTCCAGATACGCTCCCTGCAGCTAGGTTACCCCCCAAGTCCAGATACTCCCTGCTTCCAGATACTCCTCTGTATCCAGATATTCCCCTGAATGCAGGTAGTCCCTACATCCAGATACTGTCCTCCATCCAGATACTCCCTTGTATCCAAGTACTGTCCCTGCATCGAGGTATACCCCTGAGTCCAGATGCTCCCTGCTTCTAGATACTCCTCTAAATTGTTGTACTCCCTACATCCAGATACTCTCCTCCATTTAGATTCTGGTTTGTAGCCATGTTCTCCCTGCATCCAGATATCCCCTACATTCTGGTACCCACCCCAAATTCAGATACTTCCTGCTTCCAGTTATTCCCCTGAATCCAGATACTCTCTGAATCTAGGTACTTCCTACATCCAGATACCCCCTGTATCCAGGTACTCTCCTCCATTCAGATACTCCCTAAATCTGAATACTCCCTGCATCCAGATGCTCTGTTTCATCCAAATACTCTCCTTCATCCAGATACTCCCTTCCATCCAGATACTCTTCCTCCATCCAGATACTCCCTTCTATTCAGTTACTCTCCTCTAGCCACATACTCCCTTCCATCCAGTTACTCTATCCACATACTCCCTTCCTTTTAGTTTCCTCCATCCAGATACTCCCTTTAATCTAGTTACTCCCTTCCACCCAGATACTCTCCTTGATCCAGATACTCCCTTGTATCCAGATACTACCTTTCATCCAGTTACTCTCCTCCATCCAGATACTCCCTTGTATCCAGGTACTCCCTGCATCCAGATGCTCCCTGTATCCAGCTACATTCTGCATCCTGATACCTGCACCCAGATACTCCCTTGTGTTCTCTTGAGTTTCATATGGGTTAAATATCACAAATTTGCTAAGAGTCTGTCCAGTCTTCACATAGTGTTGAACTACTTTGATGTAAAAGGTGGGTTGAATGTGGGGGTCACACAGCTTTGTGGTCAAGAAGATCCTCATACCCTTTCTAACAAGTTGGGATTAACTGAAAGCCTGTTCTCTTCTCTGCAACACATGACAACTTTTCCACATTGAGAACTGGTTCCCCACTGAGGGCAATGCACACATTGCAATGCTTACAGAATGCATGTGTGTCTATAAAAGCTTGGAGAGGGCTCCACTTGCCTTTTGTGCTAATCTCGGAAAGATCTAAAGTCCTGATATTCAGAATGGGATTGACTTCATCCATAGACTTCCCTCCACCGGAAAATTAGGGTATCTTCAGTTGTCTGCGGTGGCACAGGCAGGTTAATGTGAAGCCGTTAACGTCATCCAGAGAAAGACAGTTTCAGGGGAATGTTTCATCTTGCCACTGATGATGGCCTTGAGAGCTGCTGCTGCGTGTCGCAGAAGCTAGGTTTCCCATGAATCTCTCTACACAAAGGTATGGTGTTGCCATGTCCATGTAAAAAGACGTCTGATTTGGGGAAAGAGGTTGCATGAAGGAGTCAGTTATAAATGCTGGGCCTTTCCCATTTCCAAACTCAGAAATGCTGCCTTCAATTTCAGTTCTGGGTGGGGGTCATCTAAGCAGTCTGCCTTCTGTTGAGAATTCGACACCTTTTCACATCCCATCATTCTCAGGATATGGATGGGCACACTCAGCTGGCTTTTTCCAGCACTGGAGTTACCGCTTCTGATTTTGACATTCCTGATAACTTGGAGTGCATAAAACTGGGTGAGCACAGTAACAGGAACTGCTTGGCTATTTATGTCACCCTTTCATTGCTTCCTTGAACAAATACCTATAGGATGTTACCTGTGGTTCAGGTGTGTGGAGATGACATTGTAGATTCTCTAGAATGTATTGACGCATCACAAATGCCTTATCCTCTCCACCCTTTGTGAGGGTCAACCAAGGATGTACATGTTTAATTGTTTACGGACACCATCAGACCATTCCCCATAGAAGGTTTGTAAATGCCCAAGACTTAAATGATGGCTCAGAGCTGTCTCCTAAGAGACTTACCAATGTTCTGATTATTGCCAATATCTTTGTTGAAAAATGATATCAAATGGACTGTCTTGCATTGTAGCTCTCTTATCTTGAGTGAGAATCCATGTGTTGAAAATCATCTGTGTTGCATTTCTGGAAAACATTTGAATTGCCCTTTTGTTTTTATATGCATGATGGATCCTTTTCTTATTGATCTATAGGGACTGTTTACATATGTAAGGTAGTGCCCTTTAGTGAAATAGGTGGTACATAGGCTTTTTCACTTAATTCTTAGTCTGTTGAATCTTTGACAGCTGAAGGGTGGGTTAACCAGCATGTCTGAACACTTTGCTGAGGGACCAACCACTCGTTGTAAAGTTAGAGGGTGGTGTTTCTAGTTCTCCCCAAAGAATCATCAAGAATTGTCTTTGAGGTCAGATTTTTCACACTGACCAGCTTTATAATAATAAAAAGAAAAAATACATTACATTTGTTGTCATTCTATGAATAACATTGACATTTTTGTAAGTATTGTAATCATACTATCCACAGAAATAACTCATTAAACAAGAAGCAGAGCAGTAAAAAGAATAGTAAAGAAAAGTGTTTTTTAGATATGTCAAATTAGGGCTTATTTATAAATAAATCTATACTTCCAAGAAATGTGTCAACAAGACTTATTTTTTAATGGAGGGTGAATGTCTTTGTCGATGATTCATTTTCATTCCTCAGGGAGAGAAAAATAAACACGATTTTATTGAAGGTGGGTTATTGGAAAGATAGAGTTTAAATTATGTGGCTTGTTAGATCATTAAATACCTGGGTAGAACAACTGCTTGTTTCATTATTTTGGAAATTCCATGTAAAGAAGGTCCAATGATTTTGAGAATGATGATTAAAAAGCTATTTAAGGGCTGGGCTGGGCCAGGCTCAATGGCTCACACCTGTAATCCCAGGAGTTTGGGAGGCCTTGGCAGGCAGATGACTTGAGGCCAGGAGTTTGAGACCAGCCTGGCCAACATGGCAAAACCCTGGCTCTACTAAAAATACAAAAATTAGCCGGGTGTGGTGGTGTGCACCTGTAGTCCCAGCTACTTGGGAGGCTGAGGCAGGAGAATCTCTTAAAACCCAGGAGGCGGAGGTTGTAGTGAACCGGGATTGCCCCACTGCACACTCAGCCTGGTGACAGAGCAAGACTGTCTCAAAAAAAAAAAAAAGGCATTTAAGGCCTAACAGAACATAGAATAAAATACTTATAAATTTCCCAAATAATAGTATTTGGAATAGTATGGTACTTGTTGGTGTCAGAGCCAATCTCTAACTTCCTGTGGAGAGAAATGTTTCTGTGATTTATTCTGCAGGTGTTCACTGAGCCTCCGTACACACTGGGCAGTGTCAGTCAACAAAAAGACCCTTGGCTCATTCATCCTTTTTAACAAGGCAGAGGATGCATTGCAATCCGGGTCATAATGTATTTAACCAGGCCACTTAAGCTGTGGTTGGGTGTTTACTGTCAGGGAAATGCCGCCATGACCATCATAGGCAGTACATGATTGTGAGCTCAGGTAAGTGAATTTGTTGTAATAAATGTCTAAAGGTAGCTTTATATATATATATAGAGAGAGAGAGAGAGACAGAGAGAGAGTATATATATATATTGTGTGTGTGTGTGTATATATATATATATATATATATACACACATATATAGTACTTTAGGTTCTGGGGTACATGTGCAGGTCATGCAGGATTGTTGCATAAATACATGCGTGGCAATGTGGTTTGCTGCCTCCATCCCCCCATCACCTATATCTGGCATTTCTCCCCATGTTATCCCTCCCCAACCTCCCTAACCCCCGCTGTTCCTCCCCTGCTCCCCCACAACAGACCCCAGTGTGTGATACTCCTCTCCCTGTGTCCATGTGTTCTCATTGTTAAACACCCACCTATGAGTGAGAACATATGGTGTTTGATTTTCTGTTCTTGTGTTAGTTTCCTGAGAATGATGGTTCCCAGTTTCATCCATGTCCCTACAAAGGACATGAACTCATCGTTTTTTATGGCTGCATAGTATTCCATGGTGTGTATGTGCCACATTTTCCTTGTCTAGTCTATCATCAATGGGCATTTGAGTTGGTTCCAGGTCTTTGCTATTGTAAATAGTGCTGCAATGAACATACGTGTGTATGTGTCTTTATAAAAGAATGATTTATAATCCTTTGAACATATGCCCAGTAATGGGATTGCTGGATCAAATAGAATTTCTGTTTCCAGGTCCTTGAGGAATCGCCGCACTGTCTTCCACAATGGTTGAACTAATTTAGCTTTCTTAGGTAAAAAAGTGTTGCATGTTTAATTGTTCGTGGACACTGTCAAATCGTTCCCCCTAGACATTGTGCAAATTCACAGGACTCGAATGATGCCTCAGATCTGTTTCCTAGGAGCCCTGAAAACTTTCTGATCATGGCCAATCTCTCAGTTGAAAAATGATATCCAATCAACTCTGTTAACACTGCATTTCTCTTATCTTGAGTGAGGTTGAGAATCCATGTGTTGAGAAGCCATTTGCATTCCATTTCCAGAAACCACTTGAACTGTACTTTGTTCATTTTTTTATGTTGTCAGTCATTTCTTATTGATCTATAGGAACTCTTTACATATGAAAGATAGTGCCCTTAGTGACGTCGAGAGCAAATACTCTTTTTCACTTTATCCTTACCCTTTTGAATCTTTAAGTGGCATTTTATTTTTCATTCTAGTATTTATTATTTTTATGTGTTACATTAATGGTT